TATGAACCCGAAAACCCGAAACCCGAATGAACCCGAACCGAAACCCGATTGGGACCCCGATTGCCCAGCCCTAATTATAATGATGCTATGTAAAATTTAATAAATTTTCTAAAGATAATCCAAATCAAAAATAGAGGAAATGAGTCGATTTCTGTTTTAATATAATAGATATGCTTAAACTTTAAAAGGGAGTGGCCTCAGCTTAAGGAGTCTTCGAAACATCCAAGAGCAGCTAAGAGCATGTGCAATGGCAATTCTTAGCCAAAAATCCTTACAAAAAATATATAATAATGTGGGGGATCCATCAAATTTAAGAAAATGTGTCGAAATAATTCTTAGGTAAGGATCAATCTTGTTCCTGTATGCGGATCCCGTCACCACGTGGGATCCTACGACTGACTCCTTTTTTTTTTAGCTAAAAAATATAAATAATAAAATAATTATAAAAACCTACCTCGGTTATCGCTCCAGCAATAACACCGTTGCACATGGTCTAAGAGCCTAATACCAGTGATAACTTTTACGTGATTAGGATTTTATGCAGTAGCCAATAACAACTACAAGTTGGCAAGGGGCGAGCTAGTCAATGGATGCTAAATTGCTAATGTTGAAACAACCAAATATAAATAACAAAAGATTTTAAATGATAATCCAAATCTGTAATTTAACAGCAACAGATTTGAAACTTGCTAAATTTCTAATGTTTGAAGCCGATAAACTATATTCCAAAATCCCTGAATAAAAATATTTTAAATAAATGATCAATACAATACTACATTTTAATAAATTATTGAAATCTGAATAATAAACTATAAAAAATTTAGAGGACTAACTGTTGGATAACAATATTGCATATTAAAAAAAAAACTAAAAAAGCCAGAGAGAGAATGAGAATAAGTTATCAAATAAGAAATCATTCATTGGTTTACATTAGTGATTATAATTTATTATTAATTAAAATTATTAATATCAAATTTGTTGGAAACGATCTTGGGCAACACTCCATGATATGAATGCTCTCACAATCCACCCACTCACCCCCAACAAATAACTAAAACCACATAAACCCTAGAGCTTTCTCTCCTATCGCCAGCCATGATCAAGTGAAGTCGCAGATTATCCAACAATACACGAGGCGTATTCTCGCTCACAGTAAGCGCCGTTGTTTGTTTCGCTCCTTCCCAACCCTAGCGGATGCGAATCAACCTACCCCGAGTAAGATCCAAACAGTTACAGATCAGAAGGAGCAATGGTCGAAACAAGAGCATCAAGTAAAGCCCTCTGACGTCAGATGCCTCATCAAGAATCTCCGTGACTCCAATCAATTCTCGCAAGCACTTGAGGTATTTATTTTTGATCATTTAATCTTCTTATATCCATTGTAAGTAATATATATTATGATAAAACATCTTTTGAACTTGTGCTATGTTTTTATTAAATTACAACATCTTTTGATTCCCATTAGATTGAAGTTGCACTGATTGTAAACAGTTTTTTTAGTTGAATATAAGTTTAGATAGATCTAGAGGTATTTATTTTAGATCTTTTTAATATTTTGATATCCATTGTAAGTAATATATGTTATGATAACATCTTTTGAAGTTGTGCCATGTTTTAATTAAATTAGAACATCTTTTGATTCCACATTAATGTAAACAGGTTTTTTGGTTGAATATAATTTTAGATTTGAGGTATTTATTTTAGATCTTTTAATCTTTTGATATCCATTGCGTGTAATATAGATTATGATCGTACTACCTTTGCAACATGTTAGGCATCCGAGTGGATGGGTGAACAAAAGGTCTTTGATATTTTTGCTGAAGACTACGCAGCTAGGCTTCATCTTGTTGACCATGTGCTTGGTTTGGAAGCAGCTGAGAAGTTCTTCAAAAGCATCCCTGTGAACATGAGGGATTACTATGTCTACTCCACTCTCTTGACCTCTTACACAAGATCCGAGAAAACACTCGACAAAGCCGAGGCAACGTTTGAGAAGATGAGAGAGCTAGGTTTCCTCTTGAAACCTTCTCCCTTCAACTCGATGATTACTCTCTACGGTCAGCTCAAAAATCGAGATATGGTGGAGAATCTTGTACGTGAGATGCAAGAGAATAAGGTAGGGTTCGACAGTGCCACGTGGAACAATGTTATAAGGGTATACGCGGATCCAAGCAAAATAAAGGAGATGGAGACGTTTAAAACGAGGGTTGATGAAGAAGGGATCAAACTCGAAGGAAGCACGATTGTTGAAATGGCAAGGGCTTATAATAGATCCGGTTTGGTAAAAAAAGCCTTAAAGATGTATAGTGACATGCCTGGGACGCAAAGAGAAGTGTACGCTTTGTGGGATGAGTATAAAAAGGATGCAAAGGATGATGGATATAGAACAATGATAAACTCTTTATTAAAGCTGAACAATGTAGAAGCAGCTGAGAAGATTTTTGAAGAGTGGAGCCCTGAAGGACCAAAGCTGGATATGAGCGTACCACGTCTATTGATTTCTAGGTATTACGCGGAAGGGATGGAATCAAAGGTTGATGAAATGTTAAAGTCGATTAAAAAAAAGAGATTTAGAATGCGTATGAAGAAGTTAAGGTATCACAGGAAAAAAATGTTTTCTTATTTTTTTACTTGTGGCAAGATGAGATGGACGTACAAGGTGAGATGGCCGTACATGACTAGTTTGCCCGATTTAACGGTGTTGAAAGAACGCTTAAAGATGGTTTTGGCGGTTATTTTATGTGTCGCAGTACTTGTCGCCGTGGCTTTCTGCTATGGGCTCTATCTGGTTTGGTATGACTGGCTCCTTGAAAAGCATCCCCCAAAGACAAAGCACCAGGTGCAGCTCTTAAACGACAGCCCCATGTTATATTATTTGTTTTACGTTCCTAAGTAGGTTTGATGTTCATTTCTCACCAAATCTTTATATAACGTTAGGGTTTTGGATAATTATGTTCAATGACTTTTGAAGTTGCAAAAGGTTTTAATTTACTTTTGTTGGTGTTGGTATCTTACTATCAAATTTAGAATGTCAGTGCTTTTATCTTATGACAAACATGGAAGACTTAGCTATTAGTTGTGAAGACATTCCATCTTTCTTTCTAGTTCTATAAAACACGTTGGGTGGATTCACCAGATAAAACTACCTACTCGGATTGTCTATTACTAGAGGAGTTATATAATTTGACTGTGATATGGATTAATAACCTTTCTTTTAAAAACAATTTGAATCTATTATTTTCCAGAGAATGTTGATTCTTAGTGCTGGTTCAATCTTCTATGGTAGAAAAAACAAGTGAAGGTTCTGTCGTTCAAACACAAACACATAACTGAAAAACAAACACTCAAATCAAACATGTGGGTAGTACGGTTGTATTAACAACATAAGCCCACTCAACACACTAAAACAGAGCAATGTTATATACATTGACAAGGAACCGTGAAAAGACTTTTATTTATATATTGAATCTGGTCCGGCTATATCCTCCTTGTGCATTTAGAAATCCACTTTTCGAAAACTGTTAAGTTTTTCCAACGACCATTGGCTCATCAAGATTGCCTTTTCACACACTATATCTGTAAATGTAGGTGATGATTCCCCCATACCTGGATTTGTTATCCTTTTTTGGCTGTTAAAGAAGCTTCCGGGTCTCAGAATATCTAGGATATGAGGACCATGAGGCTTGTAGTTGGAGGGTTTTGTCGGATTTTCTAGGATCAGTAGAGGGGACATGGTCTTAATGGGTGATCCCTCGAATTTTAATTCGACATTAGATGGGAACTCAGGGAAACTTTTGATCTTTGTGCAACTAGGGAGATCAACAACTCTGAGCTTATGCAAATTACTAATGGATGGGAACCTCTGCAAGTTCTTACAACCGCAGAGATCAACTTCTTCGAGGTTTCGAGCTTCTGAAAGTTCATCAACTTCAAGCAGCTTCTGAGAATGTCTAAGGTTGATCCTCTTCAGCATCTTAAATTGCTGAAGAAGAGAAACACAGTTTAAGTAAAGAAAAAACAGAAAAAATATATTTAAGTTTCATTTGGAGTTTTCTTACTTTTTGGGTTCCTCCCCAAAGAGTTTGGAGTTGACTGTAAGGCATGTTGAGTTCAACAAGGTTGCTTAGATCAAAATCTTGTGGTAAATATTTCAAAGGATAATTTTCCCAATTGAGAAATTTAATCCCATAAGGTAGAGAGAGAGACTCAAGGGCCTTGCCATGTTTTCCAGGATCAGAATAGGAAATGTTCAGGTATCTAAGGTTATACATAGATCCCAGTGAAGAAAGTTTGACATCCAGGTTTATGTTAGATGCATCCATAGATATGGCTTCGATGTCTTTAGTGCCCTGAAATAACATAACACAAGTGGTTATGGATGATGAAGAAGAAAATTAGTTGAAAATGGTAGAACAAGACATACCAATATTTAAGCAAAAATTTTTTTTATTAAAACAGACATACCAATACACATTTGAAACTTGTGTTGGTGTCTTCACTGCACCCTCCTATTTTCTTCACTACCGCCTGAATCATGTTATGCATTTCCAACCTATTTTCTGAAATAGTCACCAGAGAGTTGGCCACAAGCTGGTCAATCCCAATCTCTGGAAAGAAACCGAGGTCTTTTAGTAGTTTTGACACGTCTTCAATATGTTTGCCTGTGAAGCAAAAAGCAATATACACAAGTATGTTCTTCTCGTTGTCACTAAGTGCATAGTAACTACTCTTGACTACTTCCATAATCTGATGCGGAGGATCTTGCTTGAGCTTGAGGAACAAAGTCTCCTTTTGACTTGGTTGCTCCTGTGATGACATCTCTTTGCCGTATACTCTTAGAGCTAAAGGGTTTCCATCAGCGTATTCGATCACCTTCATTGAAATATCTTTAAGAAGATTAGTCTCTTTCACATCTTTTCCAAAGGCACACCGGGAAAATAGCTGCATAGCCTCGTTCTTGTTTAATCCTTCAACTTTGTAAGTTTGATTGACTTGACAATGAGAAAGGACTTGCTCATCTCTGGAGGTAATGATGATCACGCTTCCAAGACTAAACGAGGGAAGCTCAGCACGTAAAGACTCGGCGTATAGATGATTCCTTACATCATCAAGAACAAGAAGAACTCTTTTTGGAAGGTTTTGTTTTGTAAGGTTCTTGCAATGTTCCTGAAGCAAACTGTAAAGTCCCTTCGTTTCAAAAGTTTCATGAAAGTTTTGGATGAAACAAGTTACTTCATAGTCACTAGACATTTGGTCAAAGACTGCTTTAGCAAGTTCTGTCTTTCCTATGCCTGGCATACCCCAAAACCCTATGCTTTTGGCTCCCCATGGTTGACTGCATAGCAAGTTACTTATATCCTGAAGCATCCTTGAGTAGATTCCGATCCGTTCTTTCGGAAAGATTTTCTCATAAACATCAGTAGCAATCTTTTCCACAAATTCGCAGTCACTGAAAGAGAAAAAGAAGTATTGCTATTAGGACTTACTATGTTATGATCATATATAAACTTGATGCCTCTCATGAGAATAACAACCAAGAAACAATATGCACTAGATTTTGACCCGCGGAAATTTTTTATGATTAAAAATTTATATAATTGGGTTTTGTCTTAATTTAAAGAATATTTTGATATAAAATCAGTTCACCAAAATTTGTGGTGATGATTGTTTTTCATTAGTTTTTAGTTTCAGTTTTTATTTTTAGATTTTGGTTTTTGGTTTTTGGTTTTTAGTTTTTAAGTTTCTACTTTTCATTTTCAGTTTTTGGTTTGGGTTTTTAATTTGTAAACCCGATAAGTTAGTTTGAACTAATATTATCAACAAACAAATCTCAAATAATCGAACATCTAATTTAAAACTGAAAAGATGATAACAAAAAATTTGAAATAGTTTATTTTGTAAATAAACAAAGCAAAAAAATATAACATGTGTTTTCAGCTTTTGGTTTTGGATTTTAGTTTTTAGATTTGGTTTTTGGTTTTGCTTTACATTTTTTTAATTAGTAAATTATTTAAGAAAAATAAAACAATAAATTATTTAAAAGTTACTATTGAAATTTATCAAAACAAAGTGATTGTTATTTAAAAAAAAAAAAAATATTAACATGTTTTAAAGTACATGATTTAAATAAATGATTAATAATAGATAATTTGGTTTTGTTAAAAATATTAAATACCTTTTGGGTCTGAAAATAATAATTGATTTTTTTATCTTTTAAGGTAAAAAGTATTCAATGTTTTTGGAGTTTTTTCTTAATACTAAGCTAAAAACCAAACTATATAATTTGTTCAAAAAATAAAAGTAAGCCCAAGACTATATTACATAAATAACCACTGGTCTAATTTAAGTATAATTAGTAGATTTCCATATTCCATATTTTGATGATATATATTCTTTTAGAACATTCCATATTTGTAGGAGAAAATATGTGTTTTTGATATACACATAGATACCTGCCGTGTTTTGAAGGTAGTTTACATTAAGGTCGTCTCTTTACATTAATTGTGTTAGTTTAATTTAAGTAATACGGTTGAATCAATTATATGACTTATATTATTTGTAACATTCTAGAAAGGGTCCAAATTTAAATGACAACTTGTATGAGTAGATAAAAAAACGACTCTATTTTAATATATTAGATATACCAACTTAAGTTTAACAAATTAGGAGTTTTATATGTCGTTCGCAAATTTCTTTCAAAATTTTAGCAATTAAAATTTATTTTATTTTAAAAATAAATTTACATTTTCTTCGATGACAGTTTTATTTACCTTCTGTTATTAATAGTCGGTTAATATATAAATTTTGCACTTTTAGTTTTAATTAAAATACTACAAACCAATTTGTAAATTAACCTAATGAATCAATAAATTTAGATACAATTTCAACTATTTACCTATCAACAGAATTTTAAAATTCTCATATTAATCATTATCATATTTTAAAAATTTTACAAAGCGTATATGTGTATAAAAACATTGTACATGTCGCAATTTTCAGAAATCATATCATTTTTTGACAATGAATACAATAAAGAACATAGCAAGTTTAAAGGAAAAAAAAATCATTTTTCAAATATTGTCTAAAAGATATAACTTACAAGAATTATTAAACAAGTCACAAAACAGTGTTACTAACCTTTGATTATTGGTTTTTTCGTGGCACCATTGACTTGCGTGATATGAAGTAAAACGCTCAAAGGCCGCCATGGCAAACTTTTCCTTCAATACTGATCTACTGACTCCAAAAAAGACATTAGCCACGACATGGCCTTTGTCATTTCTCCGTTGGCTAGTCTTTACGAAATCATCCAAAGATTCCTTGATGGACACGTAATTCTTAGAGAAAATAAAAACAGAAGCAATGCACTTGCAAAATTCATCATGCTTATCTGTGAGCACGGTTATGCCTTTACGACCAAAAGCAGCGGATAGATGGGGAACGAGGGAGCATCGGATTGTCTCATCCGACCTGTCGAAGCTGATTTTGACCTTGTTGCAAGCTGCCATGCCTTGAAAATATTTTAAGATTGTTGGTTTCTTGGGAATGCTCGGTTTCTGAGAGGGATGGGGAACAACAGAGTTTTAACAAAGCGCGCAACTTGGTGATTTAAATAAATTATATATATAGAAAAAAAAAAACAATTCCAAGGTGGGTATTTTTCGTTCATGTTGCGTGGTGAAACTCTTTTTATAATAAATTTGAAATTTATTTGAGATGGTGGTTTTTTTAAACGGTAAGACTCGCCATGGCCCAAGCGAAAGTCAAAGACCTCTAAACTCAATCTCTTTGAACAAGTCTTAGCGGGCACTTGTCAGTTTAATATTTAACACCATAAAAAATAAGATGAATAATGCTTTTTCCTAGAAATTTATCTGCAGTTTCAGACGTAACAACGGCCATGTATAAATAAAAAGGGAATAGAGAAGGAATATACAAATTTAAAATATAAGCTAGTGGCAGAATGTTACATAAAAATGAAAAAAGAAAACCTAGTGGCAGAATATAAAGACGTAAGCCTTTTAACAAAAAAAAATATATAAAGATGTTTACTTGTAGAAACCTCCTTGGTTCAATGGTTTAACTAAAAGTTCATTAATTCTTCTATATCATGAGGTGTAGATTTCAACATAGTATAAGTAAACATAGTCAGGCGTGAATCTTCATAGAACGATTTAAGTGATGTAGTTAGGTGTAAATTATCAGATAGTATTATTGCTTGTAATCTTTCTCATAATTGTAATATCATAATAAATCAACATTAGAAAAAAAAAACTTTTATTTCTGAAACTACAAAAGTTTTTTTTATTGAAAGTTCTCTATAAATAAAAGAAAAGAAAATACAAATGTCCCTCATTTGAAAGATTTCTCGCTTGTCTCTCGTTTGAATCAGTTTTCTCTCCTAATATTCCTCTTATATGGAGTGAATTGGATATACAAGCTTCGTTGGTATTGAAAAGATTTTCCTTTCATCGAAAGAACATATTTTCTTCTCTGCGTATGGCACAATAGTGTGTATGGTCCTACGGGTAACATTAGATGCAATATTTGAAGAAATTTATGAAGTTGTTGTAATACGATTTCATATGTTCTTTTTTTGTGATTTATATCGTCATTCTATCCCTTTTGTTATTATTGTTGTTATTTGTTTGGCTGTCAATAGCCCCTTTGTATTCTCTTTTGCTGGAGTGTACATATTCAAGTTTAATGCAAACTAGAATAAGACATACGCCTTGCACAGAGTGAATATATATAATTAAAATATAAATTTTTGTACTGACAAATTTTAAATTTACATATGATTGTTTTTATTTGTATTTGAAATTTTAGAATTTTAGAATTTTAGAATTTTTATATAATTATCTATACATGGGATCATAAACAATTGTAATTAGAACTGTAGATCAAAGTTTAGAATTTAATGGACCCGATTTCATATATCTTTTCACTTTTCAGTGTTTGAGTGATGGAAAATAAACGAAATGTCACTAGGCTTGATTGATAGAGTATTATCAAGGTCCCTAGTGCTTTCTTAAGAAGCAGTTAATAAAATATTTGCATTTAAAATATATAAAATTTCAAAACAATTTAATATAATTTATTTATTTGTCTAATAATATTAGAATTATATTCTTACAAATTATATTTTTTTTAAAAATAATATAAAAATTAAGTTAAATTTTAAATTATTTTTAAAAACAATATTTTAAGTTTTTCAAATACAAATAAACAATTTAAAATTAGAAATGGTCATGATTTAACATAACCATAACGATTTAAAATTTTTAAAAATTTACAAATTAAAATTAACTCAGTTTTATATCATGATTTAACAATTTAAAAATTAATCATGGTTGTGAGAAGTTTACCTTCACGTGTCAATCCTATTTATCTTCAATTTTTTCACTTGTTTTTTTTTATTTTGATTATTACTTGGTATAAATATTTATTTAGAAATTTATCTCATTTCGTTTGTTTGTTTTGACCTGAGATTTAGAAAATACTTAAGATTTAAAATAATTAAAGAGATACATACTTAGGTTAAGATCAGCATTTTATGCATAATAAGTATTTTATATTTATATTATATTTTTATGTATATTATAAAATAATAAAATAATAAATATATATATATATATATTAAATAACTAAGAAATCTGTTACTATTATGTAATAAATTACCATATGAATATAAATTTAAATATCACTCTTTTTTATTCGAAATTAGGATAAATAGATCAAAATAATCAATCTTATATATTGTATATGATATATAATTAAATTTAAATGATATAAACATAGTAATATAGCACACTTTTAATATGGATATTTATTAAATGAGGTTTCTACTCATATGATTTTATGATTATTTGCATATTTGTGTAACAAAACTTTACACCAATGAATTTTTTTATTGTGAGATGTTTAGTAGTTTCAATAATACAAATCTTTACAAGCCCAGATACAAGCTATTTGTTGAGCGATAGCCCGATGATACTAAGGCACACATCAAAGAAACTGGATGAAACCGATCGTAGTAGGAGGCGAAGAGACGGAAGAGATACTTAGAGACCAGGAGTTGCAGGAGTGGCTAGCCATCATTGTAGAAGGGAAGAGAAGAGCGCAGGGTTCTCCAGTCTGTAGCTCGCATTCCGTTTTCGAATGACCGAGTCAATAAGGAGGAGGATTGGGTCAGCTGTTCTGAATGCATCCCAGTTTTTCTTTATAAAAAAACTGGATCACGCAAGTTGTGTATATTAATGATCGGTAACAGAATTAGCAAACAACAAAATAAAAGTAATCGTTGGCTAATTCCTTACATAATGCGATGAGAATATATTATGAGCAAGAGGAAGATAAAAACAAACAAAAAAGTCGCAAGAAGTTAACAACGGCAAAGTAGCCACGATCCATTTAGAATCAATCATGTTTTGGTTAAGATACAGAGTAGTGGCTTTTGCAAACCAAAAAAAAAATAGACTAGTGGCAAAAGTACAAACAAAATACCAAATTGTATTGTATTTTGTTTTTGCGATCAAATATGGATCGGTCTTGTTTTGTGACTGCATGAATGTGAAGTAAAGACTATATAACACAACTTGACTATAACAAGTTCCTCGCAATCGTGCATACATCTACGTGGGGCTTTTGGCCACTATTTCACAGTATGGTAATGATGATTGATGACGTTACATATTTTCTCTCTTTGTTAAAGGTTGAAGAACACAGGATAGGGAAGGAAGAAGAAGACTCGGCACGTACACACTTGTTCTCTATGTTCTTCAAGCTGGTAGTAGAGATAACAAACTTGTAGACCCGAAAAAAACTAGTATCTAACTATAGCATATGGCCTGGTTATCTAGGCCTGGGAATTTTATTTGTCCCCAAAATCTGAACCCGGACCTGATCCAAAAACCCGAACGAAATCAAACCAAATATAAACGAGTATTGCGTTAGAAGACCGAATATTTATCAAGAAGTTGAGTTTTGCAAAGGACAGTATCAACAGATTGGTCTAAGTATATTATGCCACCTAAAAACGACTAATATTTCAACCTAAAAAACAAATGATCTAATACATTGAAGTTAAAAACTATAATCAGAAATCCATGAATATGTTTGTAGAAAATTAAGGTGGGAGTAACTCCACTGTAACCCTTAACTTTGAATTTAATAGGGCATGTGTTTTTTCCACACTCAAATCATTATGTATACTATTAAATCAGAAATCATGATTTATTTCATGTGATTTTTTATTTATTTAGACTATCTTTATAAAGTTTCTCAAATTTTACTTAACTTAAAACAACCTCATCGGTAGTTCTCTAAATTATAGGTTCTGGAAAGTAAAATATTGATATTTTAATTAATTAATTAAATATTTATATAAATACAATAACTAACTCACTGGATGAAGAAACATGGCAAGAGGAGATAATTTGCTGAAGACACGTGGATGCAAGGGCTCAGAGCGGTTCTGAAATAGACATCAATTCTATCTCTCTCTCTTAATTTCTTGTCATCTTTTCTTTTTCTTAAAATGGTAGATACTCATTGTCATCCCTGTATTGGAATATTTCTTAGTCATGATATCTTTCAATATTTTTATTTTTATTTGAAACGCAAACATTTTAAAGAAAATTCAAACAAAAATATTTTTAAAATCTTTTAATCTTTTGAAAAGATATATCTAAAAATAGTTAATTTAAATTTTAATTAGTTAAAATATAATTTAGTTTTGGTTTATAGACGGAAATTAAAATAATATAAAATATTTTATATTGTGATGATATTAATTTACATTGTTTAATTTTCAAAAAAAAATCTATAAAGATTTTACAAGATTTTGTTAGTAAGAAATATCAGTGTCTTAGTAATAAATTTATAAAATTATCAAATATAAATTTCTAAAATTATCAAATATAAATTTACAAAATTATATAGTAATAATCTTATTAACCACACAAACATTATTATAAATTTAAAATAATAAATATAACACCAAATTATATTTCTTTATTGTTAAAAATATTATATAAACTATAATGATATTGTGGTATAAAAAACCTCCGCCTAGTCATACAGGTCAAAACTTAGTTTAAAATTAAAAGAAGATGTGAAACATATGTATCTTTCAAATACATATTATTGAAATATATCATATGTTAGTTGGCACCCTTACTATACTAGGGTTTTCCCGTTTTATTTTTATTTTATCAAATTTTACATATATTTTCAATTTCAAATGGGACAGTACGTTGTTAGATTTTTAAACAGTTGTATTGATCATCCGAACTGATCAGAAATTACCAATCCAAAGTTTGAATATCTGAACCCAACTTAATTCGAAAAATTCCCGAAAAAACTAAAATGCTTTTAATCTAACGATCAGAGATATCCGAACACCTATGTCTATAGCCTGGTTTATTCGGGAAAGCCCTAGGTTTGCCTGTCAGTTATAAGACCATGTGCATCAATAAACCCCCCATGGAGTTCATAAGTATTTTTTTAATAATTTATGATGGGATCATAAAAAGTGATGAACTCGGGTTAATTTTACATCTCCATCAATGAACCCGAAATCGGGATTCATAGGAATAAAATAATTTTTTTTGAAGAAATAATTTTTTTAAAAAAATTTTATTTTTCAATAAAATGAGAATAAGTATGTTTTTAAAATTAATTTAAGAGTTTTTATTTTAAATTATACAAGTTATTGAGAATTCAGAAAGATAGTAAAGAATGCAAAAAAGATTTTTATTCAATACACAGAGAATTCATGAAAATACAAAGATTATTCGATACATCGAGAATTAATGAAAATACAACGATTATTCATCCAGATTACCAAATTTTTGCCATATGTTTTCAACTAAATCAGCTTTCAAACGAGCATGTATCTGTAAATCCCGAATTTATAAACATTATACAAAACCCACATGTCATTTATACAACCCTAGCCCAAAACCCCCAAATCGATTTAGAACCCTAAAATTGAAAACCCTAACTCGATTACGAATCACGCAAAACGAATCAGAAATCGGACCATCAACTTGATTTAAAACCAATAAACGAAACCCCCTTCTCGATTAAACAAGCATTAATCAAAAACCCCAAATGAATTTTCTTCCCCGAGAACACAATCAAACCAAAACAACCGTGTTTAAACATGGTTCGACTAGAATCTTACCTGAGGTGGTTGAGGAGAAAGTTCGCCTTCGATTCTATGGATTTACGCCGTCGATTTGATGGATTTCGCCGTCGCTATCGTAATCGCCTCTGGAACCCTAGGTTTCGAGAGAGAGAGACGAAAATGAGACAGAAAACAGAAAGACCCTCTTTTCCTCGTGTTGAACGCGTCTTCGAGAGGTCGAATGGGAGAATGACGCGTGTCTTGAACCCGTATCATACGGGTTCACTCGCGTGAAACGGATCACGAAAATAATTCACTTTTTTATTATATTTTCGCCTCGAGGCCCGGTGAACCTCGGCCCATGATCCGCATGTGATCCCTTGATGCACATGGTCTTAGACTATTAACAGTTGCATATTGCCATGTATTGCTATTTTTGCTAGTCTATATTTTGGCGACGTACATCTCTCTTGCAGCAACTGACTAACTAAGATAAACTATGATAGATTTTTTTTTATCAATATGGTATAAAAATAAATGTCCCATTAAGATTGTTATTTTGAGGCGGTTGCGTTTTTCCAACGTATTTCAACATTTTTTTTTTAGCAAATTCTCTTTTTATTTTTGTCTATTCTCAAAATAAACTATATTTGTGCTTTCTGAAACAGTAGTCTGTTTCTTAAAAACCTTTTAAAAAACAAATTAATTTCACATAGCTTAAAGATTAACCTTCACAGACGTGGGTTAGGATTTGATAAGACTGGTCTTTTAGTCCGTTTGCACAACGCTCTTGCACTGATCATTGGTGTCCAATGCGATGCAACTAATAATAAAAAAAAAATAGTTGAATACAAATGGTCTAAAAAAACAAGTTTCCTATTTGCATATATAATATATTTAAATCCTCAAAACTCGGAGTTTTCCTTTCCAAAGTAAATGGCAACATGTGCTTCCAAAGAATGATTCAAGAAAATTTGATCGTGGAATGAACTTAGTTTACATGTTGTTGACTTGACTTGTTACCGTTGTCCTATAATACTTGACAAGAAACTGCGACATTTTTCATTCACTTGCATATTGTCTCCTTGTCTCCAAACTACATTCAAACAAAAACCTTTAAAATGGCCGTCCAAGAACCAATAGTTCCGCGCCATCAAGTGTTTCTTAATTTCCGGGGAGAGGAGCTTCGCAACAGCTTCGTCAGTTATCTGGAGACTGCCTTGAAAAATGCTGGGATCAATGTGTTCATAGACACAGATGAAATTAGGGGAGAAGATCTAACCGTTCTTTTCCGTAGGATCGAAGAATCAAAGATCGCGTTAGTCGTGTTCTCGAGAAGGTACATGGAATCAGAATGGTGTTTGAATGAGCTGGCGAAGATCAAAGAATGTATCGATGAGAAGAATCTTGTGGCCATTCCTATATTCTTTAAGGTCACGCCAAGTGAGTTAAAAGATCTTTTCTGTGAAGCACGTGTGATTCATGGCAAGGTGCACCCTGCTCACATTATGGAGGAATGGAAGGTGGCGTTGAAGTGTATTAAGTCAAAGGGTGGCTTGACTTTGAGGGATCAGAGGTATTGCTTTGGATCCCTTTGCATTTTCTCTGAATTAAATCTTTGTATATAAACATTCTTTCAGTCAAATCTGGTAGATAGCAAAATAATATATATATATATATATAACAAAAAGTAAATAAGAAAATCAAAATAGCATTAATTTAAGAATACAATGATTAAATTACTCCAAACTCTAAATCGTTATTCTAATTCTGTCTCCTAAAAGCTAAATCTTAAATCATAATCACTAAACTCAAAAAAAAAAAAAAAAAATTATTTCAATTCTTTAAATAATGTCATTTATAAAAAGTCCCTCTTATGTGTTATTTTGGAAAGAAATGGTTAACTAATACGTGAGGCCATTTTTCCTTCTTTATGGTAAATAATGTGTTATCAACTTATAGGGAAAACCTATATATTCTATAGTGTTTTTAGATTTTCAATATCTTTAGCAAAATTAAGTTGGTATACATCTCAAAACACATATAGTTGAATGATGAGTGTGTCTAGGACCAGTACGGCTGATGGCATGTGCACAAGGTACTTAGGCACTGGGTCCAAATTTTTTTTTTTTTTAAAAATTAGGTACAGTTTAAAGTTTTTGTTTGTAGATTTGGGGTCCTATATATTTATTGTTCTTGTAAAATAATTTTTTGCACTTAAAGAAAAATTGAGCCAGCCCTGTCTAGGACTCTAGCATTTTATGATTATGGTGGCTGCTATGCTTTCCTGTTTATGAACTTTTGATGTGGCAATGAAAATTGGGAGCATTTTTTATGAATTTAATTTGGATAGTTGAACATATACATTATAAATCTTGTTTAGAAGAACTCCGACCATTTTTTGATATTTATAGAAAGATGACCAAAAAACAATGTTTATTTCATATATAACTGAAACCAGCTCAAAGTTTTATGATATAAAATATTTTTGAAAATATAATAAAAATTAAGTATTAAATAGATTTGATTAGTATGAAATCATTAAAACAAATTTGAATTGTTATTGATTCATGTATTTTAATTGAATTATAAATTCATATAAGATTTTTATAATTAACAAAAAATTATTAATAGGATGAAACAAAAAAAATAAAGATAAAATCCCATAAAAATACTACGTTTGTTTTTGTTAAAAAATAGTACACAGTTTCTTTTCCTAAAATAGTATTTATTAAACAAGAAAATATTGATTTATCATAGATCCTAACCTCATTCCCTAAATATTATACCGTAAACCCCAATCAGTAAACTATATATATACCCAAATATAAAATATATGTATTTGAACAGATGTTATTTTGAAAGCCAATTAAAAAAAAAACAAATGTTATTTAGAGGACCTTTTACATGTGTGCTATTTTGAAAAAAATATATATTTTTTAATTATATTTGGGGTATTTCTCAAAATCCAATAATACTAAATTTCAATTTTTTATATTTAAAAGCACAAGAAAATAATAGGGGATTTACATGATAATTTTAAAGATTAGTCCAATAACACAGTTTTTTGTATCGTTCGAGAATACGGTTTGATACATGAGAAACTGCTTGAAACTTTCATACCACCTTTTAATACTACCTGTCTATCTTCAATCAAACATATTATAACGTTTAAGTATAGAATTTATTGATTGCATGTTGTTAGGTTTTAGTAGGTAGGTTGGGTTTATAAATGATTTAGGAGGGTTAGTTCAGTATTTTTATCATAAACAGTTCATAAAAATGGTTATCTTTTAGAGTAAATGTTGAAAGTGGTATCAAATTTGGGTTAAAATAAATTAGAATTCCTCATTGATACATATATAGCTAGCATGTTAGAATTGATTGGATGAAGTAACTGGTTTTGATATGGTTGGAGAAAATATAATAAGAGCTGATCGGCACAAAAGAAATTTCATATCAATTTCGGTGTGGTTAAATCTGATTATGTAATTTCTTTTTGGGTTTGATATCAAGTTGAAATATCATTATCATAGTCTCATTTGAACTGGTCTCTCTTGTTATGGCAGTAACGAGGCCGATTTCGTCAAGAAAATCGTAGTAGACGTCCTGGAAAGGCTCAACAATATTCCACCATGTTCTTTGGCACGAGAAGAGCCTGAACAGGCTACTCTCTTTGGAATGGAAGATCGTATGAAGCAAGTCGAGGAGAAGTTTGGTTTCGAACACGGCGACGAAACTAGAATTTTGGGAATCGTTGGGATGCCTGGAATTGGCAAAACCACTCTGGCAACTGAGCTGTTCAACAAATATAAAAACAAGTTCAATCGTTGCAACTTTCTGAAGATTCGTTGGAAGCTTGCCAAGATGGGAGCTGAATCATCAGATGAGCGTTTGAGGACGACGTTCCTTAAAAAGTTACTTCCGGACATGGACATAACTGATGAGACTACATATGATTGCGTGAAGAGTGAACTGCTCTCGAACAAAGTCTTTGTTGTTCTCGACGATGTGAGTAGCGCAAAACATATAGAGATTCTTCTTGGTGACCGAAGTTGGATCAAGAAAGGAAGCAGGATTGTTATTACAACCCGTGACACGGCACTGATCACCGACTTAGATCCAAATCCTTACGTGGTTCCAAGATTAAACCCTCGAGATGGGTTGATGTACTTCAGCTTCTTTGCGTTCGAAAGTTTCAATCCCGAGGTGGGAGTTTATATGAAAATGTCTAGAGAGATTGTGGATTACCTTAGAGGCAATCCATTTGCTCTCAAGGTATTGGGTAGGGAACTTCTTGGGAAAGGTGAGGCTTTCTGGAAAGCGCGGCTTGATACGCTGGCAAAATGTCCTAACAAGAACATTCAAAATCTGTTGAAGATAAGTTATAATGAGCTTAGTGAAAAGGAGAAGGATGCGTTCCTTGACATTGCGTGTTTATTTAGGTCAGAGGATGAGTTTTATGCAAGAAGCTTACTGGATTCTGAAGTTGCGAGTGAGATAACGGATCTTGCCTACAAGTTTTTAATTAGTATCTCTGGTGGATGCGTAGAGATGCATGATTTACTATATACATTTGCCATGGAGCTTTGTTCGTTATCATCATCCACAAAAGAGAAACTTAGGCTGTGGAAACGTCAAGACATTGTCGCTGCATTGCATGGCAAAATGGTGAGGCTAATCAATGAGTTTATATTTTTTTTTTTTTTTTTTTTATGGTATCAGTATATGATAAGTGAGTTGATGTTTTTCTTTTCTCTTTCTTCTTTTTAGGATACCGAAATTTTGACAACTATGAGAGGCATTTTTCTAGACATGTCTCAAGTAACGGACATGCCTTTATACAATGGGGTCTTTACCAAAATGTGCAATCTCTGGTACCTAAAATTCTACACTACTACTTGTCCTCGGGGATGTGAAGGCGGCTGCAAGTTAAATTTCCCTGATGGACTTTTGTTACCTCTGGAAGAGGTCCGATACCTTGACTGGCTGAAATTCCCGTTGGATGAACTTCCATCTGACTTCAACCCCAAGAATCTTGTTGATCTCAGGCTTCCTTACAGCAAGATTCAACTAGTATGGAAAAATTCCAAGGTTAGGACATCTCCAACTCATCTCAATATTTCAACCTAAATATTACTCTCTCCGTTTTTACACGATGTTTTAGAAGTGTGCACACAAATTAAAAAAAATATATATATATATTTTTCAAAGAAAAATAGCAATAAAGAGTTGTGTAGCCACATTTCGATTAATAGAATAACAAACATCATAATATAAGAATCATTTAATATATAAAAAAATTATAAATGTTACATTAAATTTTGAAAACTTCATCTAGTTTAAAACAAAAACAAAAAAGTTCTCTAAATTCTGTTATAGACAGCATCACCTTACTCTAAAATAGAAATTGATATTCTTTATATTTTGAAGAAAAGTATCATTCATGTATATTTAGAGGGAAATCAGTACTTCCCTATTTTATTTTATATTGGAACAAAACTAATATATATTTAAAAAATCCTATTTTATAAAAAAAAAACGAGGAATACATTTCATATGGTCTTAGTATATATATGTTTTCGTTCCTTTTGTGTTGTTAGAGCTGTATACATTACTGACTGGTGGTGTAATTCGATGTGGTTTTAATAGGAAACACCGAAACTGAAGTGGGTGGACCTCAACAACTCGAGAAAGTTGCAGACGTTGTCAGGGTTCTCAAAGGCCCCAAATCTTTTGAGACTGAATCTTGAAGGTTGCTCAAGCCTCGAATGTTTATCTGAAGAGATGCAAACAATGGAAAGTCTTGTTTTCTTGAACTTGAGAGGATGCACAAGTCTCTCGCATCTTCCCCAGATAAATCTGACTTCATTGAAAACTCTTATCCTCAGCGGCTGTACAAAGCTCCTTACATTTCATCTAATTTCAGAAAATATAGAATATCTCTACTTAGATGGAACTGCAATAGTCGATCTCCCTTCAGACATTGTGAAGCTTGAAAGACTTGTCTTATTGAATCTGAAGGAGTGCAAAAGACTGAGGAGTCTTCCAGAGTGTATTGGAAAGCTTAAAGCTCTTGAAGAACTGATTCTCTCTGGCTGTTCAAATCTCAACACTTTTCCAAATATTGAAGACAACATGGAAAATTTCCGGGTGTTACTACTTGATGGAACTTCAATCTTAGAGGTGCCAAAGATACTTCCCGGTATTAACAGCCTATTGTTTCTGCGGCGTTTATCTTTTAGCGGAAATGGTGTGATCACCAGCTTAGGATCTGACATCAGTCAAATGTATCATCTCAAATGGCTGGACTTGAAGTCTTGCGTGAAACTCAGGTCTCTTGCGACGCTTCCACAAAATCTCGAGTGGTTAGATGCACATGGTTGTATCTCGCTGCAAACAGTATCAAGTCCTCTAGCCTTTATTATGCCAACAGAAGAGATTCACAACACTTTCACCTTCACAAACTGTTGTGAACTCAATGAGGTTGCAAAGAATGAAATCGCATCCCACGTTCGGAGAAAATGCCAACTAGTCTCATCAGATGATCACCACAATGGGGTGGGTAGTCTATTCTTTTTTTTTTTCAAGTCTCAAAATCATTTGGCTTTCTGATTTATTTATTTATTTATTTTATTTTCTTCTGGCAGAATTTTATTTCAACTTGCTATCCTGGATACGAAGTACCTGCATGGTTCAGTCACCAAGCGTATGGTTCAGTGTTAGAACCAAAACTACCTCCACACTGGTGTGACAATAAGTTTCTTGGAATATATCTATGTGTCGTTATCTCGGTTCGTGACTGCGGAGATCAGAGCAGCCGTGTCCTGGCTAAATGTACCTGCGAGTTTGAAGACTTAGATGCACCATGTAGCCGGTTTAGTATTCCTGTTGAAAATGAGCCGCGTAACATCAAGTGGGACCATGTCTTTATAAGCTTTCTAAGTTGGTCAAACATCAAGAAACGTCAAGAAGTGGAGTTCAAGAAAGGATGTGTTCCTACTAGAGCTGTCCTTAGGTTCAAAGTGACTGATGGGGCAGGTGAAGAGATTCCACAGTGTGAAGTGGTGAAGTGTGGGTTCGGTTTGGTGTATGAACCTGATGATGAAGTTAGTAATGTTGCTTCTTTGCCGGCGGCAAGGACGAGGTTGAGTGGTGAGGTAACCACTTTCCAATCTGCAGAAGAAGCTCCAATTGGAACTCCAACAACCGCTGACTCTACAAGTGAGAACAATACTTTCAAGAGTGGATAACCAAATAAAGCACTTTATGGCATATAATGCCTTATTTTGACATGAAAATGCACTTCTAAAATTCATTAGGAATTTGTAGCGCGCAGATTGTATATATTTAAATTTAAATTTTGTATTTATGTTATATTTGTTAATTAATTATCATTTAATATTTTTATTGTTTTCATGTCTCCTTATACTTTCATTGTACTATTAATAAGTTTCACCTAGTCCTTTGTAGATTATTAGCTATATTAATTAATAAGAAGAAGTGATTATATAATAATGTTTTTGATTTATAATTTGAAGGAAAATTTGATGTTCAGCACCTAAAATAATTTGGTAAGGAATTGATGAGACAGCATCCGGGCTGAGACCAAGTTCTTGGCTTTTTGTGGGTTTGTGGTGAGTTTCTGAGAGAGGTTTAATGAATTAAAGGACTGGGTGTTTAACCTTATTTGGTGATCAAAAGTCCTGTTATATTTCTTTCCCAAAGTGTAAAGGCACAAATGGGTTTTGCAATTTGCCTGCGTAATTGTATAATGATTATGAAAGCACTATAGCCTACTGGTTATAAGGTTTAAAAATTTCTACCCCAAATTTTGAATTCAAATCTTAAACTAAGCAATTTCTTGCAGATTACAGGAAATTTAGGTTTCAAGTTTCGGAGAAAGCGATTTATTAATGCAGACTACAGAGATAAAGGTTTTACAGGAAATCTTTTACATGGTGTAAGTAAATCTGATTAAGAGTGAATCTTGGTTAAGAGTGGATCTTCATATGATGGCTCAGATGATGCAGTTAGGCGTGGTTCCTTATAAGACAGGTAGTATTGTCGGTTGCTGAGTCATATATGTAATCAATGGATCTTGGTTAAGAATGGATTTTCATAGGACAGTTCAAATGATCCAGTTAGACGTGGTTCCTTATAAGATATGTAGTATCGTCAGTTGCCGAGTCATATATATAAAAGCTATAATAAATCAGCGTTAAAGAAAAATTGTATAATGATGTATATACTTCCTAAATTTTTTCCTTACATTTAAAATATACTAGATCATAACCCGCCCGACTGGGCGGGTCTTTGTTTTTATGGTATATATAAATATTTTAAAAATTACAATCTTACGGTTCCAATTTTACTAAGTAATAGTATACTGTTTAAACATTGTATTTCATCATTGTATTGTGTAACATGACATAGGTAAAATGTTGCGACCCGTAAATATTTTAATAATATTTTATAAAGTTTTTTTTTACTAAATTTGGTGCAAAGTTATATATACTAAACAATTTAGTCAAAATTTTAAGTTCATTTTTAATGAAGAAATGGAAGGCTAGTATATTACTGTTAAAAACTTATAACAATAGTCAAGATAAATTATATAAATAAAATATATATTATTCTTGATTTATTCCAAATACATTTAAAACACGAGTACATATATGTATAAATAATTTTCTGAAATAAAGTAATATCAATGATAGAAAATCCAAAACAATAATAATGATATTTTAGGCCGCAATAATTTTTAGTTTAATAAGTAAGCCCACTAGATTTGTAAACTATACTTGTTTCCAATCATCATAATTTTAAATACTTCCTATTCATGTTTCCAAACACTTAATTTTTTGTAATTCAACTTTAATAGTATAGATTTCTTCTTATTTAGAGGGAGGAAAAAAGTCTTACGAAGAGTATAGGGGAATTGGGCTGTATAGCAAAGAAAAAAAATGAAATTCACCAAATAGCCAATTTCCCTAACAATTCTATACACACCGTTATATTTATATAATAATACTGTATTAGCCTTCTTTTTCACCGGTAGAACCTGCAAAGACAAAAAAGTTAATGAATAATTATTGATTGTGAAACATATTACGTGGTTCTTTGTTGCTCACACACACTAACAAAATAAGTTTTTCATTGTTAATATTTGAAAAGTGAATAAATTCTTTCAAAATATATTTGAGCGACGAAGATGTTGTCAGAAAGTTTTGTGGAGGAGGAGAACGGCTTTCTGAAAGTTTTATTGTATGTGGAAGAAGATGAACCGTTATTGTATTCTATTCTATTATATGCATATAAAATAGAAATGTAATTATCATGTTCCATTCTATTTTACTCACAAATATGTATTATTCTATCTATTTTGTTCCATTCTATTTGGGTTTAGGGTCTATATTTGGGTTTAGTAATAAGGATTTAGAGTTTAGTATTTGGAAGGTGGGGTTGAGGATTGGGTTTAGTGACCCTATCATGTATCGTTCCATTTGATGATTAATAAAGAGTGTTCTATTTTGCTCACCAATATGTACTATTCTATCTATTTTGTTCCATTCTATTTAGGTATAAAATCTATATTTGGGTTTAGGGTTTAGTGATTAGGATTTAGGGTTTAGTATTTCGAAGGTGGGGGTTGAAGATTAGGTTAAGTGAACCTATCATTTATTGTTCCATTTGATCATTAATAAAGAGTGCACCAATATGTACTATTCTATCTATTTTGTTACATTCTATTTGGGTTTAGGATTTACACTTTGGGTTTAGTGTTTAGTGATTAATATTTAGGGTTTAGTATTTGGAAGGTGGGGTTTGTGGTTTGGGTTTAGTGACCATATCATGTATCGTTCCATTTGATGATTAGTATGTAAGAATTGGATTTGGATATGTTTAGTATGTAAGGTTGTAGATAAAGTTATAATTCTATACTATATCGGTGATATAAAATAGAACATTGAGTAGATATATATGTGGTCAGTAAAAGTATGCGTGGATGACTCCTTCTATTGGCCACGTTATTCTTTTCTACTTTTTACCTGGTAACTGCAAAATTAAAGGACATAACCGGATAATTTATGGTATAAATGTTAGATACTAAATTATGTCACAATCAATGTTATTTACCTAATTTGTGTTCAAAATATAGCTAGTTGGCAAATAAGCCCAGTATATATACTTAAAGATTTGCATTACCAAAAGGTTCATAGTACTATTTTGTTTCATTGAAGAACAAACAACACTCTCCCTAGAGGCTAAAGCTCATCAAACAGAAAAAAAAAACAGGAAAATGAACTTGCCAATATAATATGCTACCAAATCTTGGGATTCAAAGACAACGGTTAAGAGAAGACAGAAATTCAGAACGGAGTGTTTCTGCCTCGGCCTCTCCCACCAGAGTAATAACCATAACCCCAATTCGAGTGGTAGTTGTTGTTGTTGTTACTATTATTATATCCGCCTCTGTAATTGGTCTGTGCAGCGAGATATGCACCCTGGCCAGGTTGTGGTTGAAGTGGCATTTGAAAATGGTTACCATATGCCTGCAATAAGAGAAAAAAAAAAGTTTATCAAATAAAACACTATCTACAATTTTAGTATGAAAAGGTTTCACAACTTTTGGTTGGTGAATATAGAAAGGATGAAACAAAACCTCAGGATTTTGTCTCATGTGCTCCGGAAACTGGCTGTGTTGTCCGCTTCTTGTTACACGGTCAAGAGGATTGACCGAGATTGTATCGAAAAAGTCATCTTTGTTATAAGCAGGCTGCAACCAAGTAAATAAAAATATTGACTTGTGCTTGGAATATCATATAAACTGAGATAAGGTCAAAAGCTTGAGAAATAGACCTTCATTAGACTGTGGTAAAGATAGAAACGAATACCTTTGCCTTCCCTTCTTCGCTTGGCTTAACTGCAGTTTCTTCATTGTGATTGATTTGATTGTTTTTACCGAGAAAACCCCATAGTTCACTCTTATTGAACTTTTCATTCATTGCCTCAAAATCAAATTCTTCAGTGAACTCATTGCTAGAACCAGGGACCTGAGACTGCAACACACATTTAGAACCAAAAGTGACACATTTAGCAACTATAGTTGTATTGTATTGTTAATTAGGTACAAACAGCAATGGGGCTTGATATGTAGCTAAATGGTCATCACTTGGTAGTGACATCATGAATTTAAGAACCAATGTAGTCATGAAACTGCATAGTATCTAGGAGAAGTCATGCATAGGTGCGATGGTTACGAGAAAACATCAGATGATCAGATTTAAAAACAAAAAAGAGAGAGAGAGACCTGATGAGCTGAAGCCGCGAGAGGCATCAATGGCCCTTGATATGTGGTAGAAAGACCTCGAGATGGCACACCCATCGATACAGGGTTAGTTGCACCAAACATCTCTTGACCCCTATTGACTACCATCTGCTGCCTAGATTGCAGTAACGGTTTCATGTCAGAAAATGACTGAGGCGGACCAGGAAGTACAGGAGGTGAGCCAGAAGCCATAGCTGGTAAATTATAAGGTACCGATCGGTTATGATGGTTAGGCAGAGAGTCATAAACACCATTAACAACAGCCTGAGGTGCAATGGGGTAACTGTTCTGAATATATGGACCAGAAAGCTGTGCTTCAGAAAGTGGAGAAAGGTTGGAGGGTGAAGAAGCAAGGCCAGGTGGAGTATGCTGTTGTGCTTGACCATGGGGAGAAGGGTTAGAAGAGTATGCTTGATTAGAAGTAACCTGTGATGTATCATCAACTAAACGCACAACTGGTGAAGCAGACACATCTATAATCTGAGGATCATTGTGCTTCGTTGAGGCGGATGAAACTACCTGGTGCATCATACCAGGAGGGGCACTACTGGAAGGTACTTTGTTTCCTTGCACAAAAGAAGGCATGGGCATAGACAAACCAGCATTAAGGCTTGCTGGTGATTCTGTCAAGCTTCCACCATTAAGAGGAGGAGGCTGGAAGCCAAAAGGAACTGCTGAGTGCTGTGTAGCAGAAACCGGTTTACTACTCAAAGCAGGTGTATTAACCCATTGTGCTCCTCTCCCCAAACCATAACCACTATCATTTCCAGAAGGCGGAGAGCTCATATCTGGCCTAGCATTAGAGGTCTGCAAAACAAGAAACAGGAAACAAGACAATGAAGAAAACCATGAAATCTGATAGTTAGCTATCATTATCCATGCTTTACATGAATGAGTCTTTACCTGATTAACGTCTTGTTCACGCTGAATCTCCTGCCTTGGCTGTACAGATGGAGAAGGGTTCACTTGCAGATCCTGAATATACCAAACAAGAATCATTACAGATCACTATAACTAACCTTCAAAGTTTAAACAATGATACAAAATAACCAACTTAGAAAAAAACAACTACGAAATGCAATAAAGGTAAAGAGCTTGAACACTAACTAACTAACTAACTAACCAACCTTGATGTCACTTCCGCGGAAAAGAATGTAATCGTAAATTGTATCAGACGGCGGAACTTGCGACCCATCTTTCTTCCTCCCCTCTGTTCCACAAGCTCTCACTGCATCAAAAAGACATTCAATAACGGAATCAGAATCAAAATAACAACTCCAAACGCAAACAAATTTGATTAAAGTTCTAGATTACGATTACACAAGCATTGACATGTAAATCTGCGTTCGCAAAACCTAGAATACCAAAAATCGCGAATCCGTACCGTTCTTTAGACCTAGCGTAGAGTCATGGACGTTGAGATGGTAGAGAATGCCTTCGTAACGGATCTCCGAGTTAGAAATTAGACTGATGGAGCTTCCTACGAACGTATCTCCCAGCGACGGAGACGGCGACTGCGAGGAAGATTGGGAACTCTCACTCGCCATTTCGGTGGAGCAGGAACGATGAAGAAAGTGGAACGAATTAGAGATTGTAAACGGTTAGGGTTCGTTCTTGTTGCAATGTTGATTTTTGAATCTCTCTCGGAACCGTCGTGGCTCGAGTTCGTCTCCGTCGTGATTCTTAAAGGCGGGGAGATCTCTGTGCCGTTGGTCCATTTATGAGACTATTTGGGCCTTCTTTAGGCCCATTTGTTTTGAGCTCACAATTGTTTTTGATTCATGTACAACTTGGATCAGCCCGGTTCACAAGGAGTATTTCGGTTCACTAACTGAATTAGGATAAGATTTTGGAAAAGTGTGTTAAGTTTATTTCCTACGATGCTCATGACAACAACGTGAAAGATTTGTGATGAACTGATGATATCAAAAGTAGTTGCAAGTTTTCTAAATACTAGTTTAATTTTTATATATACATGTATATTTCATGTTGTTTCAGAAAATAAAACACATGTATGTTTCATGTTGAGGGTAAAGAATTAATCTCTGTCCAGATTCTTGTTTATCTCTTTTTTTTTTTTTGACTCAACATCAATTTTTCATTAACCAAATAATGATGCAATGAATTTGACTACAGATTCTTGTTTATCTCTAGGTTGCGCTGAATCCTTGTTCATCTTTTCTACATGAAACAAATTCTCATATCTTTTTATATATTAAATCAGAAGTCAGACTTTGATTCATATGTGATTTTTTTTTTTAAATAGACCATCACTAGAAACTCTTACTATATATATTTCATTAAATCTAATAATAAAATAATTATAAAAACTTTAATCATAATATCTTTTGATTTCTTTTAAATATAAATATATATTCAAAATTACAAAATATATGTTGCAAAAGATTTAACAAAATCTTAAATTTTAAATAATTATGTAAATATTTCACTAATTCTGAATTAGTAAAGAATATAAATTATACATTAATATGTATATTTAGTTATCTTTATAAACTAAAAAAAATATATATTTTTATCTATATTTTATAAAATCATAATGTATCATATTATAAGAAAATTATTATAGTAAAGTTGTATTAAATGGATAAAATAATCTATTTTATTTTCATAAATAAAAGATATTAACGTTAAAAATATAATAAGCAAAACAGATTAACATAAGTAACTATATAACACATGTATAAAATTAACATATAAACTTTTATATACAATACTATATTATCTAAAGAAACATAAAAATTTGCTAATTTAGTATAAAATAATATAAAATAATTTTCAAACATGATTTTCATGCATATATTAGTTTATTTAATAATCAAATGTAAATCCAAGAAGATAAATATATAATAAAAAAAAGATTGAAACAATTGTTATTAACATGTGAACTATAAAATTATCGTGTTTGAAATAGTTTTATAAACATTTAAATATGACTAACATCACTAATAATGTAAAATAATTATTTATGTATAAAAAATGAAAATAAAACATGCGGGTCAAAATTTAATATATTAATTGAAAAGTCACTTAAGTAATTTATGTTGACGTGTCGCTCATAGAAGAGTTCTCCCATTAATTGTTATAATCTGATTGGTCGATGATTTTTTCCTAACATACAGTTAAGCATCTTAAATATAAATAAATTAACATAATTTATTTATCAAAATAATTAAATATCATAGATTACACTATGTAAATTGATAATATAAATACATATGATACTATATAAAAAATTAAAAAAATGACTTTTAATATATTTATATTAGTAGTAAATACAATAAATCATAGATTTCGGAAAATTAATTCATCAAAGCAATCACCCGTCTATGAAAGCTATCTAATTAATTGTTATAATTTGATTGGTTGATGATTTTTCATTTATTTCATTAAAGTTTTTAAAAGGAAACTAATTCTACAATTACCAAATCTAATCTGTATTTCCAAACATACAACAAAACATTGGTTATTAAATTTTATTAGTTATTTATTTTAATCCGATCTAAAAATAAAAAGTAATTCTGGAACTAATTAATATAGATTAACAAATAACACAAGTGATATTACAAATAATAATTTATGGTAACTAATTGTAGAATTATAGAAATAATATATATATATATATCTATTTTTTATCAATTTCTTTATTTTTTATCAATTATTTATATATAATTAAATAAAATAATTAACATTGTTTATCGAAATATATTTAATGGTTATATATTCTTATATAAAAGAACTAGATTTATAGGTAAGGAATTATTATAACTTTTATTTTTTTACACTCCACACAAAAACGTTTACAAAAAGTTATATGATAAAAGTCATGGAGCATTGTATTGGTCATACTGAAGTTACACAAAAAAATCCCTCGGCTTTTTTTCTCTTGCAAGTTAGAGTATTTTTTGGTTTTTCACTTGTTAAAATAGAATATAAAGTAATTATACAACCATTTACTAAATTACTTATAGTATTGTTTTTCTATAACAGAAAGATTTTTAATGATTAAGATTTATGTTTTTGAACTATTTTAAATCTCACAGATCTTCTAAAATATATATTGAATCATTTTAGTATCCAACTATTCAAAATTAAACATTTAAATTTCTAATATATATATTATGTTAACACTGTTATTTTTTTCAATATAATTAGAAATTTAATATAACAATAATATAACTATCCGCAAAATTGCAGGCAAACACCTAGTTTTTTGTTAATATAACAATAACAAAATAATAATATTTTTTTAACATCTTTCTTTTGAGCAAAGAAAAAAATGAACTTTTCACCTGGTAATCGGATCTCAAGTTTGAATACATTTTTTAGTTTTTTGGCCCTTTCTTCAGTTGATCGCACTTAAACTTTAGTTGAATTTTCGCCGGTTAAATCTACGGAAGGGCATACCGCATACAGTGGCTGCTTGTCAAGATTGGCAGCGGCCAGCGGGAGCTTGCGCAAATCGTTGGTTTCGTGCATATTTTGCGTCCATCTCATGTGTCAACACTTGGCGAACATATGGCTTTTTCATATTATTTAATTGAATGTGGATTAAGTTGAACCCAGTTTCGATTATGTAAATGGTGGAGAATGGATTTGTCACTTACCATTTGTTTTGGGGTGCTAACGAAAAAGCTGTAAAGCAATACCGGACAACAGTTACAAAAAAGTCTCGAGAAGACGTGTCCACAGTCTATGAGACTTGTTGGATTGTGCTTTTCGTTTTCTAACTTAATGTTCTATTAAGCTTCTTTTAAATTGAAACTATTGTAATCTTTTATGGCTTTCCACTAAGTTAATTTTGTACTAATTCTATGATCTTAAAACAATATTGGTAGAGATGACAATTATGTATCTGGACCCCGGACCGTAAAAAATTGTTACGGGACGAGGTTTTCTAAGTCCGCAAATTTACGGGTCTCGCGGGACAGATCGTTGCGGGACTGAGTTTTTGAAGGATGGGCCGAAACGGGTTCCGCAGGATTACAAGACCCATCATTTTTTTTGTTTATCTGAAAAAACGAGAGAATAATGAGAAGAAAACGATTCATATGACTTTCACTGAGAAAACATAAGAAGCTCGGACGATGGTGAAGATTCGAGATTCGGTGATAATGATTCGAGCTCCGATGATGACGACGACAGCTCCAGCGATTCGAGCTTTGTAGTGTTTTGATTTTGTTTCTTTTTTTATTTAATTTGGGATTGACACATTTGATTTGGTGTTTGATTTATTTAATTTTTAGATTCATCAAACTAAAACATTGGTTATGAACTTATAAATTATAAGAAATGAAAAATATCTTCCGCAGTTACTTTTACTTTATATGTTAATATGTTTTGGGTGTGATATAAATAGTTCTAATTATTGTTTGAATAAAAAATAAGCAGAGTAATGACTGATGAATTATGTCCAGTTGAATCGAAAACTTGAATTATATCTTTAAATAGCCTGAAACAATTTGGAATAGCATGAATGTTCTGCTGCGTGTATTATCACATGTCCTGCGGATTGATCCGCGAAAGCTTGTACATATAGCGGGACAGATTTGGGTAGCCATTTCAGAGACAGCAGCCCGCACAGATATGACGCCCTATGACCCACTTAAAGAAAATCTCACTACGGTCCGGGGCGGGACAACTTTTTTGCCTTCTCTAAATATTGGTTATAATTGTTTTTAATGTAAGAAAATGGTTCAGAAAAACGTTCTAAGTTCAAAACTTTATCCATATTGTTTGGTCGTTATTAGATCTTTATGCTGTGGAAAATCAAAAGGAAAACAAAAATATTAGTATACAATTGTATGATTTTCATAAACCTCCTTATCCAGATGAATTAAATATATTTCTAATTGTTTAATATTTATTAGATATTTTTGGCGGATATGTTGTGTTTTAATTTGTCCTTTGTTAATCAATATATTTATTCAATTAATTATAAAAATCGTGGGTTACAGCCTACTAATCAGCCAATATACATAGTTATGTACAGTCACTTCTGCACTTTGACAGACTGTTTATTCTTCATAATCAGTTAAATAGAAAAAATATGTTTAATACTTTAAAATGCTATTATCTTTATAATACAGCAATGCTGACATCTGCAACAGAGATATTGAGTAAAGATATTCTTAGTCTACCTTATAATGAAAATATTGAATAAAGATACTTTAACAAGATGAAATATCAAATAAACAATCTATTATTATAAAATAAGGTTTTCCCTCACATAAGAGTGCCATGTCATCAATTAGAGAAAGCACAGCTTGACACATGTCCCTGGCTGAGATTTGCTTATTTGGTTTTAGTCTTTATGGGCTTTATGGGCTCTCTTACATTATTAAGTTTTGTAAAACTCAACATCTCAGCCCCATAAAGACACGTTCGTCTTCACCGAAAGCGATTTCCAAAATTAGGGCTAAAAGTCTTCTTCCATCTTCGGCGTTTTGAAGCAACAATGGAGTTTAAAGAGATATGAAACGACAGTGAATCTTTGTTTCAAACTTCGATCTTCTCACCTTCTATGGAAACCATGACTGTTACGAAACACAGTTATTTCAATCATTCTCATTAACTTGCCAATTAACTCCATCTTCCCACTCATTCCACGATTTCGGATTTATTGCATCTACCTTTTCTAATTGATGAATCTGCAACTACTTATAGGTGAGTTTGTATCCATAAAATTCATCATTCTCTTTTTTTTGTAGAGTTTGAATCCCCAGAGGTTTTTGAATTCTTCGGTGGATGGTGGTGTAGGTGTAGGAGTGGGAGCTGGTTGCAAGTTGAAGAACCTGGAGGCCAAGACCCTTGATGTGAGTATAAGTAGCAATCCAATCTTCTTGATTCTTTACTTTCTCCATCTGTCTCAACGAAGAGACATTTATCGGTTGTTTACCTCAAAGTGAAGAAGAAAGCTATTGCGAAAAAGCCATGTGAGACACTGTGATTCAGTGACGGCAGAAATTCCTCGGATGATGATCGGCGTGGAGTTGGCCACCCTACAGAGATATCGTGAAGGACCATCAATTCCGGTAACTTTGTTACCATTTGAGTATAGCTTTATTGATAGGTTAGGTTTAGTGTGTATATTATAAGGTTTGACGTGAATGTCGATTGAATGATGAATCATAATGCTAATTGTGAGTTGAATTTAATCTCATTGCAGGATCGATCATTATATAAAAATTCCATCCATTTATATGTCTCTCGATTTTGTCGTTATAACTGCAAATGAGAGATATTTTGTTCATTACTGGATATAAAGGGTATTTATACACATCACATGTATAAGGAAAGGGAAAAAGATTCTTGAGGAGAAAGGGATCAGTTTGAGCTTCTTCAGATTAGTCCAGAACAAGAGGGGAACTATTTCAAGCTTATGGTAAAGTACTAGACACTAAAGTCCTTGAGATTCAAGCGATTATTGATTTTGATTCTTTGTCACGCATTAGCTCCCAACATCAAATTTATCAGATTGTCTTCTCAAACATAATTGTAAATGTGAAACAGTTTACATGTGTTCAGGACCATTCGAGAAACAACAAGGAGTAGGACCTTATGAGTTGGAGAGAAGGCTACACTAGATCATGGAGACAAGACAAAAATAGGAGATAAAAAGATGCAGACTGCATTGGAAGAGGCTTAGACAAGGCTTCATGTGGCAGAGGCTGAAGTTTCCTGGTGGAAAGACATACATAATGTCTGAACATATGTCTTCTATTGTTGGATTGTTATTTTTAAACGGTTTATAGAAGGTTTCAGAGAGGATTTAAAAGAACTAGGTTCAGACATATGTATTCAGTCAGGGCCATTGGAGGAACAACAAAGAGCGTGTCCTTATGGGTTTGAAGAGAAGGCAATACAAGTTATGAAGACAAGAAATATACTATTTGGAAAATATTATGTATGCTTTAGATCAAATTTAAAAACCTAGATTTACATGAAAGTATTTTTAATAGTAACAAAACAGATGCTCTCTAATAAGAATAACAAAACATTAGCAATGAAGTTAATATTGTTTTCAATGTAGAGTAAATATAACATTATTAATTTTTCAATAAGATATCAAAATAATTTTTTATTATTCAGTGGAGAGTTTGAATATCAATATCAATATCAATATTCAATGGACAATTTGAAACACAATCAGACAATGCATAGCATATAGTTCTCACGTTTTATCAATATCATGCCAACCTAAATATAACTTTTTCTTTTGAAACTAACAGAATATTTTTATTTGTGTGGAAGTTATGAAAAAACAACTAATAATTAATATATAATCAGTATAAATATCTTTTAGAAATTAGGTTGGAAATAAAAATAAAATTTTTTAAAAATATAACCATAAATATTCGATAATAATACATAAACTACCAAAAATACTTAAATACATATTATAACAAAAACATAGTATCAAGAATAAATATGAAAAATTACTAGAGCAAAAAGTAGAAAATCCATTTATGATATTATTTTACACATTTTATCATGTATTAGCATGTGACATCCAAAAACAACAATAATATAGATTTTTAACCACAATATATATATTTGTTATACTATGTTAAGAATTATTTTGAACACCAACCAATTCTGAAAATAACAGTATTGTAAAATATGATTATAAACATTCTTCAAAATTAATTAATTTATATTTGCAAGTACATCAACATAGATGTAGGACAAGGAGGTACAAAAAAATCCAAAAGACAAATTTTCTAATACCCTTAAAATTTTTAAATTTAGTGGTTCAAAAGCCAAAATAAAATTTTACACTAATGTACAAGTAACATTTATTTTACATAAATTTAAATAACCAAGATAAACATATTCAGATTAAACTAATTTTATTATTTTATATATTTTACATCACGTGAAATTTAAATTTTAATAATAAAAAATAACAAATTTTGAGTGGTCAAAAATTAAATCTGATGGATGAAAACAGAAAATAAATTCAGAACCTAAATTTTTGAAAATTTATCTAATGATTTATGTTTTAATAATGTTAATATATATAGTACTAAAATAAATATAAAAATATAATTAAATATAAATATTATAGAAAAATCCCGGGCGTAGCCCGGGTCGACCCTAGTTCTTTTATAAATTCAAATACAATGATTTTACTCACAAATATAGTTATTTAGTTTACTCAAGAAACACAATACTTATTTAGTTTTGCATCCTAGTAATCAATGCGTATGAGCATTGAGGTCACAGTATTATCCAGATTCAAATTCGATTATGTATATGTGACTTATGTATATGTGAGTTATATACAACCAACAACAACAAAAGAATGCGGTTGGCTGGCGTCCAAATAACCAACACGTTATTTCAAGAGTGTATTCAATCTACAATTTGGATTGATTTGCTTTTTAATTAAAATTAAGATAGTTTCAGGTGAACTGAGAATTTAAGATGATTTTATTTAAACCATTTAAAGATCATATGTAAACTATGTAAAGTCTGAATTTTTATTTTTGTAACAAAAAAGTTTCACCAAAACACTCCAAAAGGACCACTAGAAGATACTTTGGTCATGATCCAAACTTTTATAAAATACTGCCACTTATTCGGGTGATAAAAGGTTTACAGTTATAAGTACCACCGTCTTTGGTTTGAATCCATCCATTCGCAGACATTTCAAATGACAAAAGAATCTGAACTTTTACGGATTTCGTAATGATTAGTCTTTCGACTTAAAAATTCTTAGAAGTCACACCACGGTTATTAAAAATAAAGAAATAATATACTTCTAGAACTCTCATTCTTTGAAATTAAAATGTTACATATGGTAAGCTCAGAAACAACAACAGCTAGAGTAATGTACGGAACAGAAACGAGAATGTACACAAGAGTCTAAGAGAATATTAAGTATCCTGGCTCGGCTAGGAGTCTACAGTCTACCTAACGAATCAACTATAGTCTATATATAGCTCATGTCATCACCACCAGCTTCAGGAGAGGAGTAGAAAGACCGACATTTTTGTTCGGATTTGTGATTAAATGATGCAACAAATGGAGTAATTGTGTTTCTGGCAAAAATAATTAAACGAATAGAAAAAAAAAAAATTATTAAACGAATAGTACTGTGGTTGGATACGCTAGTAAACTGACGTGTTTAAATACGAGAAATCGACTTTACATGAGAAAATAAATACTTGTTGAAAATCAGAATTTTTTTTTTTTTAAAACACTATATATATATCTTGCATATACTACAAGAGTTTACAGCTGCAGATTTCAAGAGTTATTATAATAGTCATCTTTTTTTTTGTCGACATTATGATAGTCATCTAATTAGCATATATGCTGCAGTTAAAATATAAACAAAATATAGTGACATAGACCGAATTAGCTCATATATAATTCACGACTTATGGTCAAAGTCTTCGGTGAAAAAAATATCAGAATGATCGTCCGTGAAAAAGATTATAAAATCGGCTTTTACCAATTTTTACGCTATTTAACAGAATAATATTAAAATTGGTTTACTACTTTACTCTAACTGTCGTCGATTTGGGATCTACTTTTCACAAAAATGCATTAAATTCTTTTGACCAGCTATTTTACTAGTATTATCTAATAATTAAAGTGTTACACAAGTAAACAAGTGAATGGTAGAACCATTAAAGAAGGTAAACAAGTGAATGGTAAACTATTGGCCGTGATTCTATTAGTCGACTCATATATCAATATATTCTTACATGATTCTTTCTTTTATACTACAAATGCCAAAATTAAAAAGGTGATCACATACTTCATTCCCAGAAATTATTGTTAGTGCAGTGAAATTTTGTTATTCATATTGATAAAGTGGTTACTTACAACAGTCCTGCAATTTGTTAATATTTTAAGTGTAAGTGTGATAAAATAAGTTAATAAAATTGGCTATTAAATCTATTTACTGACAAAAAATAAAAGCAAATATTGACTGACTAATGCAAATTTTGTTGGAAAATTGCTTTGAGCATTCCATAATTTTATTCATTACATTGATAAAACAAAAGAATTTACAATTTGAGGAAAATAACAAAAAAAAGAGAGGGAAAGTCTCAACAACGAACTATCCAGCTTACATACACATTAAAGATCATATAACCTATCTTCCTATTACTCCCAAAATCTAATTCGCTACATTTCATAAACCTAAACTAAAAAATATTAAAATAACTGAAAACTATATACACTTGGGGGGTCCCATTAGGGATTTTTTTTTGTTGTCATCCATTAGGGAATTTTCTTTCCTATTCCCTTTTCATGTCTAATGTTTTTGTTTCTTAGCCAATGAAATAAATACTCACTTTAATGAAAAAGAATTTTTCACTTTCTACTCTTGTAATTTACTAAACGTCCACCTCTGGTTTTCGTTCCAAGGCAATGGGTAATCCATTCTGAGGAAGAGCGAACGGTCCATATTGAATTCCATCGCTAGGTCCCACGATCGACCACCTATACTTAGTGGTGAGATGATGGATTAGAGTGGAGATTTCAAGTTTAGCTAACTCATTGCCCGGACATGAATGAATCCCACTTCCAAATGGCATGAACGTATTTGGTTTTGGTGAAGTTTCAAATCTTGATGGATCAAACTTTCCTGGATCAGAAAAGAAGTCAGCATTGTGATGAATATTTCTGAATAGTGGCAATACTTTCCATCCCTTTGGTATCAAGTATCCTGTAGAAAAAAATGTAAACAAATTTAAACGTTAGCTTATTTAATATGTAACATATTGATATAAATAGTATATAGTATACGTGTTAATAATTAGTACATACCTTCATATTCAACATCTTCGACAGCTTCTCTGAAAGTGAAAGATAAGATTGTAGCAACTCTCATTGTCTCCTGGACAACTCTAGAAGTCAACGTCATCTTCTTTGTATCTTCCCAAGTGAGACTCTCACCTTCTTTTTTTCCTTTCTTTATCGCCATTTGTTCTTCCTGTTTTACCCAACAAAACCGCCATTAATTTACGAAACTACCACTCCTTTAAAAAGATCTTTAATTGTCTCATTAGAAGAAAAAAAATATGCTTACAGTGACAGCTTCTAGGACAGTTGGATTATCTGCTAAGTACTTGAGGATCCACGTCAGCACACTCGCTGTCGTGTCTCTTGCCGCGAAGATAACTCCGATTATGTTGTCAGCGATTTGCTCGTCGGTTAATCCTTCTTTGTCTTCCATGAATGATCCGAGAAGATCTTTGTGCGTAGATGGGTTTTGTCTTCTCTTTGATAAGATGTTAGCGAGGATCTGAGCTAGCTCCTTGCGAGCTTTCATGGCTTTGTGGAATAGTGTTCCCGGGAGATTGATCGGCATCGAGTTGTAACCTTTCTCAAGAATGTAGTAGCATCGTTTCAGATCTTCACGGTAAAAGACTGCGTCTTCTCCGAGTATTGAGATTAACGCCACGTTGAAAGTGTACTGTTGATACAAAAAACAGGGGATACTCTGTTTTAGACTTGAGAAAAGCAAAAACAGGGGATACTCTGTTTTTTAAACTTGAGAAAAGCAAAAACAGAGGATTCTCTGTTTTTAGACTTTAGAAAAGCAAAAAACAGGGGATACTCTGTTTTAGACTTGAGAAAAGCAAAAAACAGAGTATGCTCTGTTTTTTAAGATAGGTGTGGAGCTTACTGTTTTCATTTCTTGGTAAGTGTTGAGCTGAGTTCCATCCCAAGAACTGAGTGATTCCTGAGCGATTGATTCGATGTGTGGGACCATGTTTCTGATTGAATCAGGCATGAAAGCTCTCAAGACGAGCTTTCTGAGTTTAGCATGGTAATCTCCTTGGTGGAAGAAGATGGCTTGTTTCCCGAGCATCCTCTCTTTGCTCGCCGGAAAAGTAGGTTTAAACAAATGAGACTTCGTAACCAATACGAACTTTGCTGCTTCAGGGCTTGAGATCATCACACATGGGCATCCTAATACATGAGTCTTGAACACTGATCCGTATCTGTTTTAACCAAAAAGATTAATAAAAAGGTTAATTTTTTATGTTTCAGAGAGAAAATTTTAGTTTTTGTTGTTTGGTTTGTGTGCAAACAAGACCTTTTCTGTTTTGATGCGAAGAAGACATTAGGGTCTTGTGAGTAAAGCTGGAACGTTTCGCCGATGTAAGGATAACCCATTGTTCCCGGAGGGAGAGGGAGTTTCGAGGAGGAGCTACGACGGAGTCCGGCTAAGAACCGGAGTAAACAGAGAAACAGAACCGCTGAGAAGAAAATGAGAAAGATGCCGGAGAAATCCATAATATCTAATTTTGATCAAAACCCAATTCCTCTTTAGGAATCTTGAAGTATGTTTAGTGGATTAGTCTTTAATGGAGGTTTGTTTGTTTGAGATGGGGAATGAAGTGGGAGAGATGAAATGGTTTTATAGGCAGTGGAGGAAGAGAGGGAGTTTCCTAAAAGGAACCTTTTGTGGAGCCAGCTCATAAAAGAGAAGAGTGACGAGAGCACGTGTCGAAGACGATAGATCATGCAAAAAAAAAAAAAAAAGAGCGTGTGAGGTTTTGACCAAAAACTAGCCATCCTTTTTAATTGGAATTAAAGTCAAGGAAAGGGGCAAATTGTGGCTCTTAAGTAGAGACAAAGGAGGGTTTTCTTTTAATTAAATGTTTGCCATGTTAAGGCTACACTTCAAGGATTATATTAGTACTTGTTTAACTGTGTTTGTTTTTTTTTTTCGTTTGTAGAGCAACAAAGACAGCTGATCTTTACCTTTGTTAGAAAACACTAAAACCTTGTGTTTATCTGTGTTTCAGATATTTTAAAAAACAATAATAAATATGATTGATGATAAATGTATTCATACCGTTTGTTAGAGTAATGGTAGTCTGAATTTATGGTATATGGTATAATTGGTTAAAACAACAGTAATCAACTCACTAACCTAAATCGTACCGGATTTTGTTTTATGTTAATTGATAGCATTTTCCAGCTAAAAAGCCTAAAAGAATCTGACTTGATACATAAGCACTTTACCGTTAGTGGGAGTTGGATTTTATTAGAATTAGTTGATTTTAAGAAAAACTGAAATTTTTATTTAAAATCTGCATAGAGATATTTGAAGTCAGTAGAAAATTATAGGTATTAAAAATTCATCAAATTTTGAATCACAACAATTTTAAAAATCTAAGTTGTGCTTAATGAGTTAATTTGTTTAAAAATAGCATTTCAATAACACTAGATATTAATAGAGTTATAGAATCGATAAAGTTTTTTTAAATTAAATAGCAATAGATTTTGAAAGACAATAATTTTATTAAAATGTTAACAGTGGATTAGTTAAGATTTTTACAATCCATAAACTAATATCAATAAGGTTTTTAAAAGCTGTAACAATCAACAAAAATCTGATTCCCACTAATATAAAATATTTGCTCAATTTGATTTTTGTAAATAAATTTTCTTTTGGTGCTAATGAAAATCTGAATCTGATAACTAGACGGTAATGGAAAAACACGTGGTGATGAAAACAAAAGACACACAATAGCAATTTTCGGAATTAGTTTAGTCATGATTATATATGTCACTATGGTAAGCCCACTTGATACTAACTTAATTATTCATATATACTAATTTATCTCCCACGTTCAGCGGCATTTACAGCCATATATTATTACTTTATTAGTAGCTTAGACGAATTAATCAAAACCTACGTGGTTGACATACACATTATTCAAAGCCAACGCGATTAGAACTTGATTATATATAAATAAAATTTGACTTTTTCGAATATCATACAAGTAGGTTTAAATTACAAATATGATCAACTTGAGTAAGTATTTTAGTTTTGCGAAATGTTTTAATATACATTGACTTTTTGTTTTGCATCTGTTTAATATAAATTGACTTTGTCCCTGTAAAATAAAAACATAACTAATTTCTTCGAGGATCTATGACCAAAGACCTGAGTATTTATTTGTCTATTTCCTCTTTTTTAAAAAAAAAAAAAGAATTTCATAATTAATTGGTGTTATTTTAACAAGTGCAGCTAAAAATACTAGTCATTACAATATACGATCCACCATAGATTACTTATAATAACGAATTATTTAAGGTAAATTCTAATCTTTATTGGCAATTTCTTGAAGGTAACTATAGTATCTGATGTGTTTATAGTATAGATCGTTGGCAAAAATAAATCATTTAGCCGATAAAAAGAAACATATTTTCACTTAAGCACGAGCGAGTATATACTTTGACAGATAAGTTGAATTTGAGACAGTCAAAATTAAGATTGACTAACTTACGATCATCACATACAGTTTAGTTGCATTAATTGTGTTACAAAAGTTGTGGCCTCCTCATAATCCTGTAAGAGATAAGAAGATGTGACTAGGGCTGGGCAAATAAACCGAACCCGAAAATTCGAACCGAATCCGATCCGATAAAATTGAATCCGAACCGATCCAAACCCGATTTAAACACCGAATGGATCTTGTTTTTTGGTATTTCGGGTTATGGGTATTATCCGAACCGAACCCGAAATTAAATGGATATCCGATAGAACCCGAAACATTCAAAATTTTTAATAAGAATGTGTACCAAACATGATCTTAATCCCTAATATATATCAAAATATTTTAAGATATTACTAAATATCTAAAATAATTATCTATTACATAAAGGTTGATGGTTGAAGATGGCGGTTGAAACTTGAAATTTTTAGATTAAGGTTTTGTTATTACTGAAATAATGTTTCTTATTCTTTAAGAACTTGGTTTTCGTTTTATGCTTTCATTTATTTGGTTTTCTTTCTATTAATAACTATGTTTACCTTTCATTTGTTTTTGAATGATCAAATTTGATGTTCCTTTCTTATTTTTGAATCAATTTTACTTATGTTTTGGTTATAAAATAGCTGCACATTAGGTACTTTAAATCTGAAGAACCAATTTTACTTATGTTTTGGTTACAAAGTAGGTACAAATCAAGTATTTTTAAACCAAAGAACCGATTGGGACCCGAATCCGAAAGTACAACGGGTTGTACCGGTTCTTTAAAGATTTACTAACCCCGACCCGAACCCGATAGAACCCAAACCGATCCCGAACCGAACTTTCAAATAATCCGAATGGGACTGATTTTGATAAATCCGAAGAACCGAGACCCGATTGGACAAAACCGAAACCCGAATGGGACCCCGAATGCCCATGCCTAGATGTGACTTTCATATTGAAGAAACGTTGACATCTCCGCACAACTTTTAATAATTACGTAATCATGAATTCTAAAAGTAGAGTAGGGACTATATAGTTGGGGAGTACATCATAGAACGATTCCAAATTAAATGTTCTTCAACAAGAAACATACATACGCGGTCGAATAAATATGATGCATCGTTACGCGGCCGAAGATTTCGTCTTTCGTTGCTCGTTTGTACGTAGTCGTGGTACGACTTCATCCATTTAATTTGTATTATATCATATGACATATATTTGTTAATTATCAAACATGGCGTGCAATCATGCTGGTGTTATTAGTTCGTAAAGGAGAATATTCAAAGTGACAATTTAGTCGGTAAATTTCGAAAAATTAATATATACAAGAAGAATAGAAAAGACGTTGGAATAGAAGCAATACAGGAACAAAAATTTAAAATATTAACAGACTTTTTACAGAAATAATATAAATATAAGCAGATTACGACAAAATATAAATCTAAAACCAACAATAAAAACAATTACCAACGAATAAAACTCTATAAATCGAGAGAATCGAAGACTTTAGTTTTCTTGAAGGACTAAGTTTAGAACCAAAAAAGATAAATTGTCATATGAAAGAGAGAAACATGAATACAACAATGAGAGTATGTATAAAAAAAGCCCTTCTGTCAAAAAAAAAAAAACCAATGAGAGTGTCTTTGATACAATATCTATTTTAGATATTTTTTCTTCAAAAAAATATAATAAATATCTTCAAAAAATAATAAATATATATTATCGATTTTAAATACAACATTTATTTATCATTTGATGAAAGTTATATATGAATATTAAATATTAAATGCATGAACCATGAAAAAACTATATTCTAGCTGAAGAGATTTCGTATTCTACTCGATGGACAGACAAGTCGCTCAAATGTGCTTATTTCACGTCAAACACATTTTGCATTGCATCCAAGTAATTTAATGTTTCTTATATGTTTGATCACAAACAATATGTTGGCATGTTGCGCACGGTACACAAAGATAGAAAGAAAAAGTGAACATGAGATTTCGATGTCTTTGTTGCGTTTGCAATGTTTTTGTTTCTAAAAGTGGGGAAAACTTAAAAAAACACACACACAATGATAGGAAATTGTTGCACCAAAAAAAGTAACTTAAAAGCACAAACGAAAGATTAATATACGAAAATATTCACATGTATCAGGAACGTCACAAACTACATGATTGTTGTTTGTACTTTCAATAGACGATATCTTTTTCGCAGCATGCAAACATACCTTTATTTGCGTGCATGTCAGAAGCGTAACAACTTTACTAGAATTTACGTGGACTACTTCCCAATGAGGAAATCTCAATTTATCTTCTTTGTTCTTTTTTTTTCTTTTTGAGAAAATTTATCTTCTTCCTCTTTTAAGTCCCTGAGCAGATATAGATATTTATTATTTGTTTTTTTTTTTAATATAATTTCACTTTGAAATTCTATATACATGCCAAAATTTGTCTGTATATATGTTTTATTTGAATTTTTCATATATTATTATAATTAATGTGCAAGTATACCATGATATTAGAAGTTATTGAAGAGAATATATATTGGTAATATATAATATATAATATATTAATATATATTGTCACTATAATATTTTTATTTATTTGATAGTACTTAAACTTATTTACTTATATATATCTCTAAAATTATCATAATTTTTTTAAAATAGAAAATTTAAAGCCCACCATAAATATCTTAATTTTACTATGTATTAATTAATGCTTACTCTTAATAAATTACGCCATGTTTTGTTTATGATACAAAACGACAATGACTGTTCATGTAAATTTCAGTTTAATTATATGATCTAAATTAGAAGTTATGTATAACTTTTAATATTAGTTACAATCAATTTATATATATTAAAATAAATACTAAAATAACATATGTAAATGTAGATAATAATAATGATTAAAAAATCATATAAATTCTTGATAATCAAGAATTTGTAAGTATATTTGTATAATCAACATTATAAATTTTATTATTTGTTACGTTATGTTATGTTAAAATAATTATTTATAATTTAAAATAAAATTTATTTTTGTTTAATTAGTTTAATTATAAATATTTGTGAACTATTTAATATTGTGTTAATATATTTAGT